TAAACAGTTGAAAATGTTGGTGTTACCTTCGAAAATGGTATTGACAATTATATTTGATTTTGTGGTTCTAAAAATATGTGATTTATTTTACTGCTAGTTGTTCGGTAATAGATGCTAAATACAGTAAAGAGAATAAGAATATGCAAACCAAAGCTATCGCGAAACTAGCCTCGAGTTGGCCGGAACAAGGATTCGAGGTAGTTAGGACAGTTAGCGATGAACAATTGATGAAGAAACAATGATAACGAAGGTCTCAAAGATAGCCTTTTGCAGTTAATAATGGACAATAATTGAAGAACAATAAATGAACAATGAATGAACAATGAAAGAATAAACAATAAAAATGTAGAATAATTGTTTAAGCAAAGAGAGCAGAGAATGTTGTCTTGTATTCAATGTATCGTGTCTTACAAAAATGACAAGGGTCCCCTTTATATAGGAGGGAGAATCCCACATTGGTGCATGCCTAATAAATGAAGAGGGAATGCTACTGGTATAGCTATATAACGGCTCAGTACAGACTTGTACTATTTCTTGCAGACTCTGTCAGTTCTAATCACATGCCCTCGGGAACTCCACCTTTCCATGACGGTCGTCGATTTTCATGCTCTGCCTAAGGTAAGCTATGATGATTTCCTTGATATACCCTCGTCGAGATGAGTGCTTCGAGCCTTAGACTACGCTTCGAGCCCATCGAGTTCGGGCTCAAAAACGCCATAGAAGCCTTACAATCGGTCTTTCCTGATTTTAACCGTATACAGATAGTCCCTGCGTTTCTTGAATGAAATAACAAGGAACGATTTTGAATTCTTCAACTCTTCAATGTCCCTTCGAGGCCTGAATTCTAAGCAAAGAGAACCTTCGGGCATTTGATTTTTCTGCTGAGATCAAGAGGGTGAAGGCCCTAGAGGAAGAATCGGCAGCTCTGCTTTTCTTCGATGATGGTTCACCAGTGGTTCGACTAGCAGCTCGGAGGATGATGAATATGAAGGCGAAGTCCCCTAGGGAGGAGGAGCCGTTGATGCTTTGGGGGTCGAGGGCCAAGCCGTTAAAGGCACAACTTCTGAGAGAGCTCCGTCTGGCCAAGTGACCCCGGCGGTAGGTTAGGTTTTTATTTCTTGTTCTTTGCATCGGGCTCCCCGTGAGAGTGTGTAAAATGTATCTTTGTACCATTATTTATAATAAAAAGGAACCCTTTGGTTTTCCCTTTATATAAATTCCCACTTGCTTGTGTCTTTGTTTATGTTTGAGTTTTGATGTCTGCCGATAATTAGTCCGATATGTTGGACTTTTAGATTAAGAACCCTTAGAGTTGTGTTTGATTAACAATGAAATAGTGGGACCGTTAGGGATCGGTCCTCGAATCAAGTTTTGACTCAAGCTCATTGACCCTTAGGTTTTCAACAATTGGCCCTTAGGCTTCTTAGGCCGGCCCTTAGGCTCTTACGCAGCTATGGCCGCTTAGGCTCTTTAGGTTGGCCCTTAGGCCTCTTACGCATTGGCCCTTAGGCTCTTTAAGCTGGCCCTTAGGCTCTTACGCATCTCTTTAGGTTGGGTCGATGCGACCTCTAATATGGTTATAGTTTTCCCTCATTTTCGGCTAAAGACTTTGAAGCTTTGATTATGTGGCATGTTTTATGTTCGTCCGACTCTTCGACGGCTCAAAACGAGAACCTCGATTATGAGTCAATGAATGACGATAGTTGAAGTACCTCGGGAGGCTCGCTCGAAGGTGAATTTTTCGAAACCTTTTCATCGAAGGCTGATTGTTTTCGAAGCCTTTTTTTTTATTGTCAGAGCTGATATTTATCGAACTTTTTGCTTATGCCGAGGGTAGCCTGATTAACCTGTCTTTTCGAAGTATCTTTGAAGTATTGAAGGCCTTTTAGTATTTATGGGCGGCAGTTCGGACGTCTCTGAGCCACGTTAATTCGGCCGTAGCCTTTTAGTTCGACTATAGTCTTTATGTTTGGCCGTAGCCTTGTAGTCCCCGGGTGCGATGACCTTGGCGTCTATATCGAGGGTATGCCTTTTTAGGTGTCTTACAAGTTCGATATATAGCCTTGGCCTTAAATATCGGGGTTTTGCCTTTTTAAGGTTTTATTAATTCGAGTACGCCTCGTTGAGATCTTATAAGCTCAGTGTCGCCTCATTGAGGTCTTTATAAGCTCGGTGTCGCCTCATTGAGGTCTCATAAGTTGGGCATGCCTCGTTGAGGTCTTACAGATTCGATGTTGCCTCACTGAGGTCTTACGAACTCAAGTTTTTTGATGGCTTCGATGAGCTGGCTGCGTTAAAAGTCCCCGAGTGTTCGAGGATTTTTGTTCTTTTGAGCCATTTTGCCGTGACAGTAGTAAAACTTCTTTGAGGCACACAGTGTTTTGACAAGCAGGGAGGCTTCTTTGATTACTTGATATATGTGTACATGTTTTTTCCTTGGTGCTCAATTGTTCTTAATGGACACAGTTCATTTGACGGTTTGGCCCAATACATATTCCTATCGAGGTCCCTCAGGCGTAACGATTTTTCGAAAGATAACCTCTAAGGGGATGTCCCCCAGTATTCGAGGCCGATTGAGAAGAAGCCTTGAATATTTGTTGAGTTCTCCTTAGGTACACTATAGATGTTGCCTCATTTAAAAACCTTGATGGTAAAACTCGTTTGGATAAAACCCGGTCTAAGGGAAAAAGAGGCCAACACATGCTTTAAAACCCAAGGTCTTCGAGTCGAAGGGTGCTTCGGAGTCTCCCGTCGAACACCTGTAAGAAAAATTAGTATGAGACATAAAGCGAAAGGGAGAAGGTTATTACCTTAGCAATAATAGCGTTTTAGCATTAATATGTTCCAATCTGGAAGTTTGCTCACCTTCCATGTGCCCGAGTTTGTAGGACCCACTTTGCCTACTACTCCGAGGTGTGGTAACGGTCCTTCCCAGCTCGGGCCTAGCTTCCCCTCATTAGGTTCCGGGTGTTGAGGGTACTTTCCTCAGGACTAAGTCCCCGACTCCGAAGTATTGGAGGTTTGTTCTCCTGTTATAATATCTCTTCTATTTTTGGCGCGCCAACCGGACTAGTGTAGCCTCTTCGCTTTTCATCTAGTAGCTCGAGGGCTGTAGTCATGGCCTCGCCGTTCGAGTCCTCGGTGGCATGTCGAAATCTGGCGCTTGACTCTCCGACCTCAACCGGTATCCAATGCTTTCGGACCTCGTATACAAGAGACGGTGTGTCTCTCCTTTGCTTGACTTGAAGTGTTGTTCTGTATGCCCATAGTATTCGGCAATACCCTCTCCCATTTTCCCTTCGCATTTTCTAACCTCTTTTTCAAGTTTTGGATGATGGTCTTGTTTTTGGACTCGTCGTCCATTTGCACACGGGTGATAGGGCATTGATAGGATCCTCTTGACTTTATGATCTTCGAGGAATTTCGTCACCTTTCTGCCTATAAATTGTTTCCCATTATCGCATGTAATCTCGGGGGATCCTGAATCGGCATATGTTGTGGTCCCAGATGAAGTCGATGACTTCTCTTTTCTTCTATCTTCTCGAAGGCCTGCGCTTCCACCCATTTTGAAGAAATAGTCAGTCATAAACAGAGTAAATCTGGCTTTACCTGCACAGGTTGGTAGTGGACCAACAATGTCCATCCCCCATTTCATGAACGGCCATGGTGATAAGATTGAATGTAGGTTGTTCGCCGGGTTGTGTGAATCATTGTGGGCGAACCTTTGGTATTTGTCACACCTTCGAACGAATTCCTTGTGTCCCTCTCCATGCTGTCCCAATAGTAGGCCTGTTCTGATCACCTTTTCGAACCAAAGAATCGGCGCCAGAATGATTCCCACAAGTGCCCTCGTGGATTTCTCGAAGTACATAATGGTCTCCCCGGTCCCAAGCATACGTCTAGAGGTCCGTCGAAGGTCCTTCTATATAGTGTTCCATTCTCTTCGAGTGAAAATCGAGCTGCTCTAGCTGAAGGGCCCTCCATCTTTTGGGTCTGTGGGCAGCTTCCCGTTTTTTTAAATAGTCGAAGTATTTATTCTTCCAATCCCATGTTAGACTTGTTGAGTTGATCTCGGCGTGGCCTTCTTTAATCGCCGACTTAGATAACTGTACAACAGCCCCTGGAGTATGCATCTTTCTTCGACGGACGACCCCAGGTTCGCGAGTGCATCGGCCTCATGTTCTTATCATGAGGAATGTGGACCAGAGTCCATCTCTTTGAAACGATGCAATATGACCTGAAGTTTGTCTAAGTATCTTTTGCATCCTGTCACTCGAACCTCGAAGCTCCCGTTTACTTGGTTGATAGCAAAAGGGAGTCGCATTTTTGCTTCGATGACTTCCGCTCCTAGGCTCTGGCCAGCTCAAGACCTGCCAATCATAGCCTCATTACTCGGCCTCGTTGTTAGTGAAAGTTTTGCGTTTTTATAGATTGCCTATCATAACGCCCGTAGGCGGTTTCAGAACGATACCGAGCCCGGACCCTTTCAGTTCGAGGCACCGTTGGTGAATGGTCCATACCCCCGATGACGTGCCCGTTTCTAGCAAGAGTTCTTTCTCCACTTCAGGCACGAGGCAGGTGTGAAATCGGCCACGAAGCCGCCAAAATTTGGGAACTTGATAGCCGTCCGGGTGTACTCTTATATAATACCCTCCGAGCTCGATGGCCCATTTGGCCAATCTGCCCGATAATTCAGCTTCTGTGCAAGATGTTTCGAAGAGGTATATTGTAAAAAACATATACAATTGGCATTGAAAAATAAGTTTTAATTTCCAAGATGCACTTATTATGCAAGAGCCAATTTTTCTAAGTGTGGATAGCTAGTTTCAGCATCTCCTAGAGTCCGACTTACGTAAAAACAGAATGGCATACTTGTCTTCCCGAACCAAACCACGACCACTTACCGCACTTCAGATACGGCCAGGTATAAGTTACAACGTTCATCTTCCTTCGGGGT